TCCCCAGTCCCTTCCAGACAGTGGAAAGGAAGTTTCTTCTATTTCCCCTCCTTTGTTCTCAGCTCCTTTTACCACCACAAGAGAATTGCACCTTTATATAAAGAATTCTCAAAACTCAGCAATAAAAATACAACTCAACTTAAAAATGGGCAAAGGACTTGAACAGACACTTCATCAAAGAGGACATAAGGATGACAGATAAGCACATGAAAATGTGTTCAACGTCATTAGCCATTAGGGAAATACAGATTAAACCCATGCTGAGATATCACTACACACCTATTAAAATGGCTTAAATAAAAGTACCGATAATGCCAAGGGCTGCTGAGGATATGGTAAGCACCTAGAACTCTCCAACATTGCTGGCGGGAATGGAAAATGGTACAGCCACTCTGGAAAACGGTTTGGCAGTTTCTTATAAAGTTAAATATATACTAACCATAGAACCAAGCAATCCCACTTGAGAAGTTAGAACTTATGTTCACACCAAAACCTGTACACTAATGTGCATAGCAGTTTTATTTGTGATAACCAAAAGCTGAAAACAACCCAAATGCACTTTAACAGGTGAATGGTTAAATAAACCCTGGTACATCCTTACAATGGAATACTACTCTGCAGTGAAAAGGGAACAAACTATTAATACATGCAAACACTTGGATGAGCATCAAAGGTATTATGTTGAATGAAAGAAGCCAGTCTCAAATGATTACAAACTGTTTGATTCCATTTATGTGACATTCTTGTAAGTACAAAACTATCATGTGGGAACACAAATCAGTGGTTGCCAGGAGTTGTGAATGGAGATAGGATGTGACTATAAAGAGATAGCATAAGGGAGCTTTGGGGGGGTGATGGAACTATTCTGTGTCCTGATTATGGTGATGGTTACATGAATCTATACATGTGTTGAAATTCATAGAGCTGTACAGCAAAAGGGGGGAAAAAGCAAACTGAATATATGATAATTTTTTTAATATACTATGGGATAATTTTTTAAGATTTAGTATATGATATTTTTTTAAATTGCATCTTTATACCGAATTCACCTGTGCTTGGCAGTAGACACAGAACCTGAAGACCAAATTCAATCCAGTAGATAGGATAGAAATATATTCTATGAGGTATGTACTTTCCCAACTTGCCTCCTCCTCCACCTTCCGATTTTGTGCAAAATTTGGAGGCCCTGCCTCCACACTCATAATTATTCCCAGTTAGCAGAGCCAAGGCACAGAGAGCTTGAAGACTCACAGATCATTTTTTTAAATAGTTCTAATTTGGGGTGGCAGAATCTTTCCCTCAACCCAAACTTTCTGTGGGTCCCAGAGAATTGGGGAAATGGGCTGTTTCCACAAACCCCCCAGGGGAGGCGCTGCTGACCATGCACTGACTGAAGGGCCAGCAGCTAGGAGGAGGGGCAGCATTCCCGACAGTGCCGTTTCCTTCTCTGGAGAATTCCCTGCTAACAGCACTTTCACATCCACCCGCCTTCCAAATGCCCCGCCTGCGTTTGCTGCCTCAGTCTTCCAAACCAAGCATGAGGTTCCACTCTGTCAGACCTTGTCACTCTTGGGTGCCTGTGTTCAAGCTGACCAACTTATTAAGCCATCGCTCCCCTCTCCGCCGCCCAAGAGGAATGTGCATGCATTCAGAGAGCAGGACCAGTGCCCACCACCCTCTCTGACCCCACTGGCATCACAGGACCTGTGCATGGGGGGAAGCAGTGGAGAAGCAGACAGTGCAGGAGTTCACCTAGGGCCTCGGGTCCTGGCTAAAGTTTGCTGCTCAGCGGGCACAATTAACAAATATGAGTACATTGAAACATTATGATCTTAAGCAAACCCTGGCATGGCTGTTCTGTGGATCTGAGCACCCTGGGCACCCAGGCCCTGCCCCTATCAGCCCTCATGCGCCCACAGCCACCCCTTTCAGAAGACTGCTGTGTTATCCTTACTGTGCGAAGCGCTTTCATTTTACATGACTGCATCTCTTCCCTAACACGACCTATAGGAAAGACCCAGACTGCAGAGAACATGGCCCCTCCATCCTCTCTCGCCTCCCTATATTTTCCATGTTTTAAAAAAGGTCCTAAATAGGGCCGGCTGAGTGGCTCAGTTGGTTAAGAGCTCGCTCAAGAATTTGAGCTCTG